GATTATGTCCCCAAACCATCTCTTTCCATAACCAGTCTCTGACAGATGCTAGGACTAGATTATTCAGATGCTAGCCCATCTCCCACCACCTATGTATTAGGTTGCACCCTTGTCTCTGAAAGCTTGCCTCTGAGCATGCGAAGATGGGCTGCATGTTATAGTGCCCCGTCAGGGTCCCACACAAAGGCACCCCTGGTCAGTCTTACAGCAGGGCACCGAACTGGTATCGAGTATCTCATACTAGGGGTGTCCAAAGGCGAACAAAGTGCCAAATGTATGCGTGTCTGCTGCAGGGCATTAGTAGAGTAGCCAGAATACTGATAAACTCGTAACCTCCCTCTAACTTCCTTTGCAAGCCAGGCCTAATAGCTGAAAATTGGCTGCAATCCTCACCCATAATATTTGATATCCTTTCCAAGAAATGCACAATTAACTATGATAGCTTTGGATATTCAATATGCAGGGGAACTAGCACTGCTGTTGCCTGGGATGTGATTACATTCTCTGGTAGAGTCCAGATCAATGGAGCATAGCACATGAACCTCTAAGATCATTAATTACTTTTTTAAAAAAAAAACACATAACAAAAAACCCCACAGTAACTCTCAAAAGTTAACAGGGGCACATAAACCAAAATTGCACATGGGAAGTGAAAGAAACTTTGGAACAAATCTATCTATTGTAACAAATACCCACCAATTTTGTGTTTGCACATCCACAGAAGACTCCGATTCTTAGGATAAGAGAGTAGAATATGGTGCATAATTTTAGAAATGCAAACTTCATGCAGCCCTGAGTCGGTAATACCATGTCTTCAGAAAGCAAATAACTTATTATTAGAGGTGTAGAGAGCTCTATATCCAAGTGACAGGTCTCCATCCAACTAAATAAGAAAATGCTGCCAAATCTATTTCTATAATCTCAATGATCTCATATGTTTTCATTAAACATATTAAATAAAATGACGGATGAAAAGCGGCCTATTTATCCTATGCTAAAGTAATAAGAGGGCTTAATTTTTTAATATTTTCAAAATGAATAGTATGCTAGAGGTATATGGTATGTTTTATAAACTATAGTAAGCATCTGTCAGAAGAATAATCTCACTGAAAATCTGCACCATTATACTTAGTTGTTTGCATTCTCCTTGCAGCAGGGAGCCATAATCATGGGCCCACATTTCTCTGTTCCAGACTTTGCACAAATGCACAGCAAGAGAGCGCTTTGCCCCACCAACCTTACTATCCAAGGTCCTATGGGCCTGAAGTCAAGAACAGTGTTAAAACAAATCGCTAGTCTGGAGGATTAAAATCTTAAGTAAAGCCAAATCTTTTAATATGTTAGGGATAACATGTTGTTTCCACCACAGAGAATTTTCTGATTGCAAAAGCTATATTGCTGCTGTTTCTTACTTTTTTATTTATTAAGAAAAATGAAAAAAAGTGCTAGAAATTATTTAAGAAGCATACAAATACCCAAGCAGAAGCAAAAGACTTATGCTCAGCACATAACTATTTGCAGGAAAAACTCTCTACCAACAATTCCATTTCTCCTGTATGCAAAGCTCTAAACACAGGAGTTGAGCTAGATGCACTGTTGCAGACGTGCAGTATTTCTTTGTTTCAGACTACTTCTTTGCTATCAGAGATACTGGGCCTACATACACAATCCTCATGTGCTCCTCATAATAGAATAAAATATCCTGGCAGCAATGTCAGAAATGACTCGCAAGTGGTGCTTTCCTTCCTACACAAGCCATTTCTGGAAACGTACCCGTTGGTCCTGATGTTATCCTCCTGATGTTGTATTCAAATGACAGCAGCTATTCATTCATTCATTCATTTCTTCACAAGGCAGGAAGACGTGAAGCTATCAAAGAGAGCTGGCAAGAGCCCGTAAGGCCTCATATTAAGCTTTTCTAGGCTTTGGGAATGAAGCCAAGAAAAAAAAGCATCAGGTTCTGATGTCTTTTCTTCGTAACATTTTGTTCATGTTTAGATGAAATGCAAGCAGTAAAAAAGAAAAAATTTTAAAAATCCCTGTTTCCCTTTTCCTGCTTGCATTCCCTATGGGCACTCTGGCAGCTTGACAAAATAGTAACTGAGAACAAGCGCTGCAGGGCCAAGTCCTGGCTGCAGCTGAGCTCCATGCCGGGAGTGCCGGGGAGCTGCTAAAGTTCTATGCAGCCAGGCTGGTGTTTGCACCCTCGATTCCCCAAATACTCCCCATGGGACACTCATTTTGGATTTTACACAGAACAGAGCAGGAGCCCCAGCAGAGTTCAGAGTAGCAGGAGAGCAAGCAGCCTCCCTGGGAGCAGAGGTGGCTCCACCAGCCTCTTCCCATGGCACCAGAACAACCTGGTGACATGTGGTGTTGGGACTGCTGTAGTTATATGGGTGCATATTTTGCTTTACCTTTCAGAAACAGACGAAAAAACTTATACAGAAATTTTGCATTTACTTTGAAAATTCAGCCTCCAAGAGCCTTTTTTTTTTATTATTCTGAAATTTAGAGCTATTCTTGCATCTTAAACACACTGGAACTGCCATCTTAGATCAGACCAAACATCCTTCTAGCCAAGTATCTTCTCTCTGATAGCAGCCAATAACAGACACCTAGGGAATAGTAAAAAATACAGGGCAAGCTCCATAACTCTACTTTAGCCTCCAGAGGGGTGAGAATAAGCAGCTTACCTGGTATTCCCTCAGTGGGCACACCATGGACTCACACAGAGGGACAACAGGCCATTTTGTTTTGTACCCTACTCCTTTCCTAATAAACACAACATTCACTTTTCCCTTTGGAGAGCTACTGGGGTTTGAGTTGATCCTGCCACAGAAGTATCTTTTATAACACTGAGAAACAGTTGTTAATTGGTAGTTGTCAACTCAGAGCCCAGTATTATATTTGTAAAGTTAGGACTGCTTTGTCCTGTGTACACCTGTTTACTCCCATCCACGTTAACTTCCTTTGCCACTTTGTCATCAGTTGTTCAGTGTCCTAAGAACCTTCTGCAACCCTTTGCAGGCAGCCCTCCTCCTTTACTACCCTAAAGAGATCAGGTCAGCAGCAGCAACCTTTCTGTCCCTCTTCATCCCTTTTCTAGATCATTTCTGAGCACGTTGACAAGTTGAGATCTTTGCAAGGATCTGTTGGTAACCTTTTTCCATTACAAAAATAACCATTCATTATCACCACCTGTTAGTTATTTGTTGTTGAGAAGAGTTTCTCTACAAATTCAGGGCTGCTTAGTTTCTTTAGTAGTTTTTGGTGAGGGATCTTGTTGGATCTTGCTGTCCATATACTTTTGATACATTCGAAGGACTATCATCTTTGTAAGACATAAATCTTCCTCCTTATATTGCAATTACCCACACGCCTCCTAATTCTATTTTTTAACAGTTTCTATTCATTTTCCCATCAGAGATGTCAGGCATACCGATCTACAGACGCCACGGTCAAGCCTATTAATAACGTTCTGTAGGTGCTCACCTCAATTCAGGATTAACAGAAAATCTTACAAGGAGTTTGAAACAAGGAGTTTGAATTAAAATAATACATTAACATAAAACCTGTGTCCTCAACTTTGTAACATTAATTTTCTTGTGTAGAATCATTTTGTATGCTTGCATGCACATATGTATATGTATGTATATAAAATTTTCAGACCATTAACCAACTACACATCCCATTATGGAAATGAAAAAACAACCTCCAGCCTAATCAAGCCAATGCTTAGTAATCTTTTGCTATAAAGCTGACACTAAACACAATTTGACAAAAGAAATAAATTACATTTAATTTATGTAAAACCTGTAACTACAAATTCTTACTGTTTCAGTAGTGCTTTAGTATTTTTTTTCCAGTTCATTTCCTTTTCTTTTAAGTGTCAGACTTCTAGACAAATCCTCGAATTGGGGCTTGCCAAACCTATTCCAAAGTTGCAGCACAGAAGCAAATCATGAGCACAGCAGTTAACGCACCTCTGCAACCATCCAGGAAAAACACTTATCCATCATACGTCTCTTCCGTCTGAATTTCAGCGTAATCTGTTTTCCTACATTTGTATTTCCTCTGGGAAGGCAATAAATGCTTGCATTTCCCAACAATTCATCCTACCCTATCTCCTTCTCAAAACCACTCTATCACCACTAGGGAATTAAGCAACAGAGAAAAATAAAGAAAAGTAAAGCTGTCTGAATCCTACATTCTTCATGTCTTTGATTGCATCAGCAGTCCCTCAGCAAAATTAGTGGTTTAGACCATATTACTCAATATAAAAAAAGACTAATTTTTAACTTCGTCTACTTGCACATTTTTCATGTGAATAAGCATGTCATGCATGCTTACACAATTAATTTATTAATTTTTTCATGTCTGATAATTATCTCATTCTAAAAAGCTTGGAATATACAGTGTTGTTTAATAAATAAATGTATAATGTTCAGATGGTTGCCCATTTTGGCTTTAATAAAAATGTCCATGATATTAATATTTGAATCAGGAAATATTTAGTAAAATGAATAGAATAGTTGGTTTGTTTCTAGTATGAGGAGGAATAGTCATTGATAATTACTCCACTCTTTATTAGTCAGAAGCATTATTCTTATTCTGTCCATCCCCACAAAAAGTTTAAGGAATTCCTGTTGACTTGTGACTACTAGCAGATTGATGTTGACCTAAAATATTTCTGATGAAGTTAGAACAGGAAATGCCTCTCAAAAGACTGACAACATACCAATGAAGTACAATAAAGATGTATTTCTAAAGGATTGTTGCTGCATAAGAACTAATAATTACAGGACGAATATGTGAATCTATGCATCTCCACCAGCTTTGTAAACATATTTCTATTAACTATGGTTATTGCCCTTCTCTAGCCTCCAGTGACAGCCAAGTCCCAGCTGAGAGGCTCCCAACTCTGTCCTATCTCTGGCAACATAAATGTGAACTGATGACATTTTAAAAAGAGGGAAACAACAGGAAGGGAACCGCACCTTTGCAATGCTCACAGCAAGCTCCTCTCTGCTTAATGACGAGAGCACAGTCCTTGGAGAGCATCGGACACTTCTCCCTTTTGCATGTCACTTCCTTATTCTGAAAAAAAAAAAAAAAAAAAAAAAGCACAGCTATTGCAAGCAAACCAAATCCATGGCTACCATTTCTTCCAATTCAGAAAATAAAATGTGAGGCTAGCAATCTGCTCTTTTGCTTCAGGAGAGGTCCTTGTGATTCAAAACACCTTTCTCCCCTTGAAGGAACACAGTAGAAAACAGTCTTGAATTATCCAGGAGCCCAAGTAAATGGTGTTTAAACTCCACTTAGACAATCATTCATGACCGCTACCCATCACAGCACAGAAAACTATGCCCCACTGAAGCAATCCACTTTACTTAAATGAAAAACTAGCTACATGATGCGCTTGTTAAACTATCCTTGGGGTCTCAAGGTGCTGCTCCACGAACTGCACAGCTCAGGAATCGTTTCTTACTGTGACAAAAAGACAGACGGATGAGGAAGAAGTGGCAAGCTCAGAGAAAACAAAATTCTCTGCCACTGCTAAAAGCCATTTTTAGCTAGCAGTCTTACCTAGCTACCCAGAGGTCCTTCAAAAGAGGCTACTACATACTATACTAGAAAAGAGACTACCGTAATTTGTGTTTGTCCCCAAAACGCTGAGAATCAAGGAAACACCACAAGCAGGCAGAATCACTGTACTTTATTACAGTGTCAACTTTCTATGGCAAAAGCCAGCCATGGCCAAGGCCAAAGAGCACATAGACCACACATCAATAGAGGATGTGCAACAGCAGGCAGGAGAAATATTCCATTTACAGGCCTGCCTTGCCCCAGTGGTGTCAAACCTTCTGGTTATCCCTGCCTTTAAATAAGGGCAGAAAACAAATACTTTGGGCGTTTTGTTCAGTAAAATTCTGCTACTTGAAATTCCTGTCTGAAAGCAGCCTCTGAAGTCACCTCCACCTATAATTAGTAGTTCAGTTCATTAAGTAATACAGGTGGCCATCTACTAGATGCAAGCACCCACCTCACTCAATCTTATGACTTAATTAGAGACCAAAAAAATCAAAGGGCTACAAAAATGTAAATCATAAAACTAAAGGAAAAGAAGCTGTGCTTTCCAGTCTTTTTCTTTTCTCCCTGTGGCCTTATTCAAGGTGCCTGTGAAGGATAACACACAGCTTTTATTACACTCCAGCTCTTTGTCTAAAATCAGAGGTTTATTTTCTTCAAAGTCACTGCCTGATCTAATGGGAGCTATAAAGGCACTTCAATCTTATCAGTGCAAATGAGGACTCACTCTCACCAAGCCAGTGTGAAATCAGCAAATGAGAATCAGGCCCTAAAGCACAGCTGCAGCGACACAAACAACTAGTGTAAAATGCCAAGTCACTGCTATGTGCTGGCTGCTCTGCATCACTCCAGCATTGCAAAGCAACCATAAATGCAATTTAACTGGCAAGTTAAGCTGAATTTATGGCAGGGGGTAGCTCTGGACTGGCACAAACCAGCCACAGCACAGCACTGCAACTGGCTCAGCAACTTCTTTTCACAGCTCAGGGTGAACTCTTGATTCTCCTTCACGTGAATGTAGTGCCCCCTGATTTTGCCTCCATAAAGTCTGTTGAAGGGCAGCAGAATCAAGTTTACCAAATCGACTACAAACAGTCTGTATTTTAAAGGGTTCTGCTAAGCTCTGATTCTCTTTAACACACAGCACAGCACTGCAACTGGCTCAGCAACTTCTTTTCACAGCTCAGGGTGAACTCTTGATTCTCCTTCACGTGAATGTAGTGCCCCCTGATTTTGCCTCCATAAAGTCTGTTGAAGGGCAGCAGAATCAAGTTTACCAAATCGACTACAAACAGTCTGTATTTTAAAGGGTTCTGCTAAGCTCTGATTCTCTTTAACAAGAGTTTGCTTAAGGAAAGATTTAATAAGCCTAGCGGCCTCATTACATTTGTCTGTGAGAAAATCTTATGCATGGTGAAAATGGGCCTGAAGGAAGGGCAAAACCCAGTTTAGACTATCTTCCTTTGGAAAACATGATTTACACAGCTACAGCATGCATCGTGGACCTCTGTGAGATCCAAGATGCACAGTGCCCTTCTGGGCTAACCTAGCTGGGCTGGACACACATCAGGGGTCCAGCAGGCAGCTACTCGTCGGACTCCCTCCTCAAAGGAAGAAATTATTATTGCAGACCGCAGCGAGAGAGATGAGAAGTAAAACACAGCTCTCTATTTCTCTTTGTTCCTTGTTTCCCAGGGGACTCCTGGGGCAAATATCTCATGCAGCCCAGCCTCCCAGGCAGCTTCTCATCCTCTCCCCTGAGCACCAGCTGCCTCCCTCTGCCCTCAAGTACATCCTGACTTCTTGTTGGCAATCAAAAACGTTCCTAAGGAAAACCCTGACACATATTTCAAACAGGAGATACTTGCTACTTACTGTTCCTAAGTAAAAGCCTCCTGTTTGCCCCGCATCACTTAAACCAGAAATCTCTGCCAATGTTGAGTTTGGTACCACTGAGCCAACCCAAGAGGGCAGCCAAATTTGGATCTTACTCTTCTTCCCTTATCACCAGCAATGCTGATGGCTCAACCCCAAACTCAGGACTTGCATTACAGGTGAGGATGGAAGTAACTGGAAAGAAAAAGCAAAACTGAGCCAGGCTGTACATCCTAGCAGCTAGGAAGTTTTCTGGGATGGAAGATTTTGGAGTTTGTGTTGTGGTGCCAAGGGCTGTTTTACATTAAGCAGCTGTTCCACATAAAGAACATTAGTGGCCCACAGTGTAGAAAGAGAAACTGAAGGGTCCTTCCCCCTTGGACAGTGTTTTAAGCAGAAGGCTACAGATCCATCTTTCTTCTCACTATCCCAGTAGACCTTGAACTACTTGCTGCTCAGTGTTCCAGGCTCAGCAGAAGAGGGGCTTTTTCCTTGTGCTCGCAAAAGCCACTAGTCCCAGCAGTAAGGATGCTTGTTGGGAATACAGGAGATGAATCTTTGAATTGCTTCTGGACATAGAGGGCACCGAACCTGGATCACTGTCTCAACTGTGAATTGTTACAGCATGGTGCTAAAAGGCAGGCAGGAGGTGTCACACTCACTGCCTGACCCCGCCCCCCCCCGCCTTTTTTTTTTTTAAAAAAGAAAAGAGCAAGATCTGCCTGCAGGGACAGGTCTGTGTATCCCAGGTAAACAGAGACAATCGTTGCCAGCACGAGAAAAAAGCTGATCCTCCTCTTTAGCTAGTATTACAGGCAAGCCCCAGGTGGCTCCAAAAGTCTGTTTCAGATGCCACCTCAAGGTGCCTAACTCCCTGCCATCAGGGCTGGGCTGCTCTTCCAGGGTGTGAGGTACAGCATTGCTCAGGGTGCAGGCCCCACCACTCCTTTTGGGGCTTTTTGCTGAACAAATATACAGTAGACCCACAGCCGCAACACACTGCCCTGGGTTGTCTTCACAGCAAAATCCCTCTTGTACTATGAAGAGACAAGCGTAGATCCAGGGAAGCACATCCAAGTGCCTCTTGCTGCTTCTAGGACCAGATTTAATCCCAAAATTCTTTCCAAAAGTCCTGTTGTTTTATCTCAATGCTGCATCTTGTGGAAAACTAGGCCAACAGATGTGGAGGAAAGGGTTAATGTACTGTGCTGATCAATCATAGGACAGCAGCAGATAAAACAGGGCTGGTAAATCATTGTTTAGTCTATTGCAGTCGTGCATTATCCAGTGCAGATCTCTCAGGCCCACTGGGTGTAAAAGTACAAAGATAAAATAAAGAGCAATTGTCATCAGGAGGTGGTTTTTTTTTTTCCCTTCACCCTGTCGCCCAAAACACTGCTATTAATGTGTACTGTCCATCTGCTTCTTTCAATTTTGCCTTCCTCCCATTTCATAAGGGCAAAGAAGAGGGTGAGAGCAAATGGACTTTAGCAACAAATCCTTTCCTTCCAAATATGTCCCCTCCTACCCCCAGTAATCATAACATTTCATTACTTGTCCCAGCCATACATTTAAAAAGTCACTCAGTAGCTGCATACAGGAGAGCTGCGTTACCAAACCTCCATCTGTGTTGTCAACAGCGTCTCTGGAGTTGTTGAAAGCTCTCACGATACTTTGATTTTTGCTGTTCTTAAGAGAAAACTTCTTAGACGGCAACATTCAGAAGCCAACAGTTATGGGAAGGCAGGGGATTTTTTTTGTTGTTTTGTTTAAAAGACACACACTCTGGCACCGAAAAGTGTGGAAGAGACACATGGCTCATAAATACATAAACCATTTGCTAAATCAGAAACCTGGGAGTCAGTCAAATCTATAATAGGATCCCAAGATTCATAATAAATAACTTTTAATTATAGTCCTGCACAATAGTTATTTTAAACAGATGGTTTATAGATTCACATCTGGGATTTTTTTTTTTTTTTTTTAATTTAGTGCTCAGGCACACACACAGAAAGAGGGAGAACCTCAGCTAAGGTTTTTATTAGTGTTGGAAAAACACGTATTTTTTTAAAAGAGGTCAGGCTGATCCAGAACAATGCTGCCACAGCTGACGCAACTCCCCAGTCAGTGCTCAGATCAGCAAAGAGTTCGCACTGGAATCTCAGAGCCCCTCAGAAAGGAAAATTTAGGAAAGTGCTGGAGGATCACCCTGGACTCCTCTCTTGCACTCACTGACCCCAACTGCCAGAGAACTCACATTTTAATGCATTTGGGGGAAGACCATAAAGTTTTGTTGGATGCCCACATTTCTCTCCTCTCCCACGCTTTACCAGTGGGAACCAAAGGTCTCTTTAACTCAGCATGCAAAGGTGATGTCAAATTCCTATACAGGAGAGATACACTAACCAGACCTAATACCAGTGTTACTGCTTCATGTTACCTTTACTACAACCTCCTCTCAACGCAATTTGTTCACCTTCTACATACAGCTCGTATTTTTACCTTCCATCAAAGAACTCCACACAAAATAGTCCATTCTGGTGACAAAGTATATCAAACTAATGGCCTTAAACTCATGTGGTACAGTTAAATAGAATGCCAACATGAAAAGGAAAAAAAAAAAAAGGCACTAAAAAGAAATCTGAATATTTGGCAGAGGTCTTGGAGAGGATGCGTGCCAAACCACAGCTTGGAAGCCGCAGCCAACTTTCTACAGGGTTCCCCACTGGGCTCCTGCTGGCTCACAGCAGCCACCAGGAGGATGGCTCTTCTCAACCTGGATTTAGCTTGGAAGAGAAGAAAAAAATAAAAATCAGGAGTTTGCTTCATGTCTTCAGGGCTGCACCAGGGAGTGCCTCCATCAGCAGTACCCCAAGACCACTGTTGTGCTGTCATCTGGCTGATGAAGACCTTGCAGATGCAGGTCCTCAGGGGGCTCAATTTCCATTGTGAGAGTCTGGGGTTTGCTTGCTTTTTTTTTTTTCTCTCCCTTTTTATGTTTTGAAAATGCTTTTAGGAGGCTTGCACTGCATTTCTGATATCCTGAGGTTAACTATTTATATTGAATAGGAAAAACGTTGCTTAAACTTCCATTTAACCAAAAAAGGCTGAGGAGAGAAAAATAATAAAAGCAACAAAGACAGATTAGGTAAAATATGAACTACCACTAATGGCTAATCCTGAAAACATTTGTTTTTTACCATTATTCATCACAGTCCCACTAGTAACTCTGATAGGACTCCTCACCAAGTAGTTCAGAGTGTCCCGAAGTTTCTGCCAGGAGAAGCCTGTGGGATCATCTGCCAAAACAATAGCAATTTTCAAACAATGGCAAAAGTTACCCCTGGGGAATTTGGGATGCAGCGTTCAAATATGCACATATGACCTTAGAAGAAGAAAAATCCATTTAAAAATGAATGGAACAAGTGCACTCAAGTCACATAGGCAACATCTCCACTGCAAGGCATAGGGCAGACTCAAACACAGGCTCACACTGTGTGCCATGACCCGCACGCTCTCTGTCCACGCTGCTGGCAAATGCTGCACAAGGCCAGAGCATCCTCTCGAGTGCGCATGGAGCCGCACTCAGTCCACAGAGGGCATAGGAGCAAAGGGCTGGGCCAGCACTGGCCACAGGCTCTGTCCCTCTGTAAAGCTTGAGAACACCAGGCTCACAAACATATGCCTGCACCTATGCTTACGTGCAGACAACCCCAACATTAAGTCAACTTGAGCTCAAAAACAGGCTCAGACACATGCACAACTCAGTCTAGACAAATCCTGAGGCGCTTTCTGAAAATACTACCCTTGCTCCTTTGGCACTCCTGCCTTGAACTCACCCTCTTGGGTCCAATTTAAAAACCTCCCTTTAACTGGCAGAGTTGATGCAAGCAAGCAATCCTTGCTAATACTGTGGGACTGCTGTCTTCCATGAGCATTTCTCTATCTGAGCAAAAGCCACATAATTTGGCTTCGGGGAGGAGACACCACTCCCCAAGAAGAGAGGTTTGCAGACATTTTGAAACACTGTCAAGGGAGATGAGAAAAAGGTCTCATTTCCTTTTTCCCCTCCAATTGTATGTTTGGGGTTTTTTTCCTTGCAAAAACAAATTTTGTGGGTACAATAACAAGAATGATTTGGAACACTAGGTGTGGTTTTAAATTCAAGGGGCAAAAAATATTCCAATATGAAACAATGTCTGTTCTCTGCAAAATGATATAGTTCTCTCTGTTTACCCACATAAACCTACAAACGCCAAGGCATACACTTCACCCCACAGAGAGAAAAGTCCTGTGATTTTAAGCATGTCTTCAATTGCAATAAAAAGACTCACAGGATTGAAGCCAAACATACACTTCACTACTTTCAGCATTAGGTCCTTGCCCATAGCACAACACGAGCATGATTTCTGAAATTACTACCCTTGCTCCTTTGGCACTCCTGCCTTGAACTCACATTGCATTAGATGCAAATGATGGTATTTCATCAGGAACAAAATATGCCAGTTCAGTCCACAGAGTCTCTCTTTCCTTTTTTGAGCAGAGCACTCGGTAGCCTCTGATTTATCCCCTCATCCCTGTAATCTCTTTAGCTTATCTGGCCTCTCTGAGGGCGAGCAGGGAGGAGGCCGCAGCTCTCCCTGCAGTGGTGTTCAGCCAGCATCAACCACCCTCTTCATAATTCAAGCTCTCCCCGCTCCCTAGGAAAGATGATTAAAACAAAAGCCCTGCTGAAAGATGACACCAAATTTCACTGCAAACAGGTATTCCCCACTGCTGTGAGGAAGACATGAGTATGTGCAAGTCAGTCAGGACACATCACTCACAGCCCCTTATAGACTGAACAGATTTTTTTTTTCCCCCACTGTGGTTAATGATGTTCACCAGCATGAGGAAAGTGACCTCGCTGGCCTGCTGCAATCCTGAACACTCCCTGACAGCCACCCACTGCACTACTACATGAAAAAAAGAAAGCACTTTGTTCCTCTTACATTTTTTTGCAACTGCTAAGGCTGCAGCTGGGATCAGGTCCCATTACATCAGACATCATATAACCATATGCAAGGAGTATATCCCTGCTCCAGTGAGCTTATTGACAAAGTAGACATAGCCAGACAAAATCACCATAACTGCAGATTAAGTCAGCGAGAAAGCCAGAGCAGGATCCAGACCACTTAGCTCTCAGTCTGCCTGCCTCCACCTCAACCTCCAAGTGCCATTTTGGATTAGAATTCTTCAGCTGTAAAGTTAAAGGCAAAACTCTTTACCTGTCAACAGAATAGCATGATGGTCTTCTAGCAATAAGAGACACGGTCTTCACAGGTTCCCAGAAGTTCATCCTGCAGTCCAAGAAACTACTTATAGTAATCCAGAAGCCAGGTTTCAGGGAAGGGGTGGGCACTGGGGTTCTCATGGGAGACCACACCTTTGCATTTCACAAGATATATGGATTTAAAATTCACAGCATTTTCCCATTAATTTTAAATGTGTTTTTAAACAAACAAACAAATTAAAGGTTTTTCTACTTTGTCAATAAGGAATTCATATTAATTATCAGTCACCTAAATCTGATGCCAATACCTAAGAAAACAGTAGTCACAGGCAATACCTGTCTATTTGAAGCTCAAGGCGCAAATCTGTACCTGTGCTGCTGGAAAAGGTTACAGCTCACTGACCCAACCCTATAGGCATATGTTCTACCCTTGTTGGATGTTCCCAGTCACTCAGATCAGCCAACGAACTTTTCAGATGATCACTGCCCAACTCATTTTGAGCTAAATGAGTGATCTTGAAAGTGTGGTCCAGCCTAGCCTGGTTTACCTCCCAGATAAGTGATAGGCAGCCGAGGGCCATAAAATCTTCCACTACCTTAGCTCAATCCAGAGGCCACCTGCACACAGCTGAAGTCAGCAGATGTGGAACAGTATTGCTGCCGTAGGTGCATTAATTCCTGGAGCACGCTTCTCTGCTGACTCCCCTGAAGTGTCATAGGACATCTTGGAGAAGAAGTTTGCTTCTATCATCCCCAAGCCAAACTGGTCTGAAAACACTTTAAGTAAATCCTACCCCAAAAAATTGTTGAAGATGGCACTGATGAATTATCAAGCTGATTTCATAGAGGGAAAAGCAGATTGTGCCAAAGGTTTAAAATAAATTATGAAATCATTGGAATTCAACAAATTTTAGATCAAGCCATAGTGTCACATTCTGTCCCATCTCAAAAATTAACTCAGGCCCATAAAAAGAGCATCCTAACAATATTCTACTTTTGCTCATTTAACTACTGCCATCCTGGTCCTGTAGACTGTTCAACTTATTTTCCAGCAGACATTTGCAATGAGAGAAAAAACAAAATCATGAAAACAATAAAAATGTACATCAAAACCTGAGTCGTCAGTTCAGAATTCCTATTTTTGGATACCAATATCTTCTATTACAAACTGAATACTAACAAACAGTAAGTTTTCTTCTACTGATGCGAATGAAAACATTTGACTTTTATTTAAAAGACTGTTTCTTTATAAATATCATTTCATCACATTTTGATGGCTAAATCTACAAGTATATTATCCAAACAACAGTCACCTGTCAGTGCATCTTTTTTATTGCCTTCTCTGTCTGAAGTCTGCTTACTCAACTCTTACACTGGAGATTTGGGCAGTGGCAAATGCTCTAGTTTTGGGCTTCAGTCTGTTCTAAAAACTTTGAACAAAGCAGCCCTTGAGGCCATGTACTTCTTAAAGAGCTTAAAAAGCCCAATGGGCCTCCTAACTTACTCTGCAACAAGTCATATCCCATGAAGAAACTCACTTCTGTACAACACAAAAACAGGGCTAGATTAAAGAAAAGGGAAGAAAAAAAAGCAAGGTCCCCTGCTGCTCCGTCTGGCCAGAATCATGTCTTTTACTGCCCATATCCTCTAAAGAAACGATGCTCTCATGATATATTACCCTAATACATCACCAAGTGACAGTTTTCTCATGATACTGTATCCTCAAAGATGTGATGCATGCCAGAAGCAGCAACAGGAGATCTCAGCTGGGGGAGGGAAGGGTTTTTTACTTTCTTCCAAATTTTTAATCTACATGTTGGTTTTTTAATGTTATTTTGTCAGGAAAATCCCTGACAATCCTAGTTTCATAATCTAGAGGACTCCTAGAAGTTTCAGAGTAGTAGCACAGTTTTTAAACTGGAAAGCACCAAAAAAACCCCAAAAACCCAAAACCAAACCCTTTTCATTTAATTGAAGCAAGTTTTGAAATACGACCAAAACACTTGAGGAACAACAACCAAATAAAAATAGTAGCCCAAAAGAAAGCAACAAGAGTCTGTTTTCTATTATAAATTATTTAGGCAAAAAGCCTCCAGACACTGCTGTTTTAATGATCTTGTAAGAAAACTGAGTGCTGACCCCACATTTGTTTTCTTACATGATCTTGCCTGTACTACACTGTGGTATTAGAAAACAAGAGGAGGTTATTCACGGCGATCTGCAGAGAGAAAGGGCAGCCCCCAGTTTGTCAATCTGTATAGAGAAGAGTGGGAAGAGACAAGGACCAAGAGCATTTCAGGCAGGATTCCTTGAAGAGGGCAAGAGCTTTTGGTGTCTTCTCATGCTGCCTTCAACTCACAGAGGCTCACTCCTTTTTGCTGCAACTGCTCCACGCTAGTAAAATCTCGGAGGGGCAGGCAGGAATCCTAACTCACAGACAGCTTATGGCAGCAGTGCCCCTCAAGCAGACTTCATCTAGCTGGTGCCAGCAAGAGAAGGCTCAAGGCCAGGGGAGAATTTAGTCAGAAAAACCTGCACCACAATGATGTTTTATTTGACACATCTCATTTCTATGAGTTTCTACTTCACATCTACTCAAACTTCTGATGGATGCAAAGCTTCCATCAGATGCAAAGAAGGAAAGTGGAATAAGCTTTCCTTTGTTGTGATCAACC